TAAATCAGAAAGAGATAAAGCGTATTATAAGTAAAAAAATTTATATGTGAGTTATTCAAAATTACTCAAAAGAAATTAAATTTGTGGAAAATTTATAGTATGACCTCAGGTTCATCATAAATTATAAGAAAAATGTCTTAATTAATGTTCAAACTTTATCAAAATCTCGGTTCTTAATGCTAATATCAATAAGCGATGTTAAGATATTGGACAAATCCTTTCTTCGGTTTGCCTGATTCAATTTAAAATCATGTTTTTTCATATTAAATAAAGTTAGGCAGCTTTTGATAATCTTCCTTTTAGATTTTCCTTAGCGCTTATTTCTGAGGATTGAAAGCCTTCCGATTCGAAAGGTTGCAAATTGGGAACTGATAAAATCGGTAAACTCCTTAGTCTTCTTAGCCTTTTATTCAAAATGTCTTAGCTGCGTCGTTTCCTTTTTTTACTAAAATAAGGGATGTAAATCTCCCTTGTGCGCAGATTTTGGAATTGTGCGCCGTCATCGGACTCACTGTTTTCAAGTTGGCTAGCGCGTGGAGAAGAGCAATGGCGTATCCTAACCAGAAACGACACCCTGTTACTTAACACAATGATCTATTCATACTACTTTTCGTAGTTTGCTAGAAACTACCTAATTTCACATAACTCGTTCCCAGGTTTAGATATCTTCAATGTTTGCACATGCCTTGACAATGCGCCGCCTCATAGTGCATTTAGGGAGGCAGATAACTGTCACGTCAATAATCGCTAAGCCTATTCATATGTTTTATTCGTGTCAGGCTTAAACCAAGAAAAATTCAAAGTTTAGCTGAACATTAAGAACTCTAAGTACTTAATAAGTTAAAAACCACTGCAACCTTATTGATGTTTTCATTGTATTTGTTGCGGCCCCCGACGAGGTTAGGGAACTGCGATAGGGCCGACGGCCCACACCGACACAGCCTGACCGAAAAGAGAGACGAGACGCAGAGATGCCGCATAGCTCAACCAATTTATTGAAGCAGTTGTAGTGCAACAAGTCGTCAGTTTATATAGGATCGCCTAACATCGATCTCTGAACGAACTGGTTTACGTGAAGTGCATTCACGTAAACCGATTGCATCGTGTTCGCTCGCGTTTGCTAACTGCGCTCGCTCGCGGCTCGCCACACGCATTTGTCCTTTTTTGCCTGTAGTACATTTGCATTATTTTCAATCGCCTTCGTTTATAACATCAACTGCTCCTTTAGGTCCGGCTAAATAAAAAAACTTTATAAAAGCAGCTTACTGAAGCTAACAGATTGCATAATATTCGCGCTACACCTGTTTTTACATGAAAATGAAGTGATGTTTTAAGACAACAAGTGAAAAAAGCTATTGGTCTGGAACTAATACTTGCACAAGTTGATGAGTTTCACAAGGCCCACTCATGACAAAAGTTTTGGTTGTCAATTTTTAAAGCCATGAAATTCTAATTTGCTCTCAACTCAACTTAAAGTGTGCACACATAAACAGAACAGAGTCATTATCACCATTCCTTTAAGCCTACATTAAACACCTGCGGAATCGCTCAAGGTGCAGTTAGAGAGGATATGGACCAAATTTATATTCTGCTTAGATTAACCATTTAAAATCCTTCTTTCAATAATTTTCGCATTAGTTATTGGTCACTCACACGTCCGCATATCGGTTTTCAAGGCATTGCTTTATTTGCGGTAATCCCTCACATTATCACGGCAATAATTCATACAATAACTAGAATAGTAACTGTTAATTAATGTTCACGTTTTGCAATAGGGGCCACCAACATCGATTACGTAAGTCAATGTGCATGAAGGACCTTTCAATTATGTTCCCATTTCACGTTTCTTTTTTCAATTTTTGCCATCAAATTATTTTCAGAATGTCAAGCTATCTCCTGCAAATAAGTGGGTACCAAGTTAGGAGATCGAGATTAGTCTTAAGTAGAATCAATATCCCATTTTATTTGGGCGGCCTTGAAGCATTTGAGCGAAAAGAAATCCTTAGAAAAGGCAACAGGTTTTCTTCATTCTGGCGAAATGTTGCTTTAAGTGTTTTTTTTTTAAATCAAACTTAAGGTAGACTGAAGTCCCTTATAATCTTTTAGTCCAATAAATTTTAGAGGAAAGACCTCATTGGCTTCGAGTTAAGACAATTTGACTTTATGCTTAAGTCCGTCGCATTTCTATCATGCTGGCACAACACATCTTTGAACTTCGCACCAACAAATATTCGTAAAAAGAAAATGGCCAAATACCAAAGAGCAGAGATACAAATTACACACTGAACATTAACGTTAGAAAGGACGTTCACATGGGTGGATCCTCCAACCTTCAATGCCGTCCACTTCCAGTGGCCTTTAAAAACGGCAGTGGCCACAAAACGCTTGTTAATTATAGTTAAAATGTAATGTATTGTTAAACAGTTGTCATCCGAACGCCTTCAGTTCGTTTGGGCTTGGTCAAGTACTTTGATCTAATGTTCGATGTTGTCTGATTCCCTTTTTCTTCATCTGGCACTTTATTCTCTCCTTAAAATAAAACACAATTTAGAATTCAATGAATTGGACCAGCAATATAGTTTGAAAAACAAACAAGGTTATGGGCAACTTTGTGAGCGGATGGCTGAAGCAACAAATTTGCCACGAAGCATTGCTTAATTATGTTTTAATACCATCTCATGTTGCGCTTATCAACATAAAGTTTATATAAATAGACACAAACACGTTACTCACACCTTTTAAAAATGACGCCTAGCGTGCAAACTTGAATTAGCTTCAGCAAAGTTTATTACTAATGTGACTGCTGCTTTAAAGTGGTTCTTCATTTTTCCCACGTAATAAATTTACGATGCCACCTGTTGTGTGTTCAACTTTTAGCCCCTGCTATTGCAGATTTAAATGCGCCATAAGGTGTGTTACGGACAAAATAATGCTGTTGTCATTTTCATCGAAACGAAACAGTACTCAAAGTATGTGTAACCGTTAGGGCCTAGGCATTTTGTAGAATTTGTATAAGTACCTTCAGCTTTTGGCGCAGTTGGTACCGAAGTGACTTTGTCCTCTGTGTAGCTCTACCTTAGTGTCTCCATTTCATGCTACATCCTTTTAAGTAACTTTCACACCAATTTTTCAGGCACGAAACCCAAGAAAAGCTAGTAAATTAATTAGGGCTTTGTTCCTACAGACGATTTTTCTATAAAGCACAATTCTGAGCACGACAACGTCAGTAGGTAAAGTGTACGTAATTTAGATAGATGGCATGTGCCTTAAAGTCAACTTGCAAACGAAGGCGAATTTTGAGCGACATTTTTTAATAGGTGGAGTAAAATGCATGCGTGGATACGAAACTTGTAAGATGAAAATTTCAATTTTTTTAATGCTTCTCATTGACTTACCAAATATTTTATATCCTTCGCACACATAAGTCGGCGACGCTTACAAGCCTAAAGTAAAATTAACAGATTACATGTCTAGAATGATAGAAAAATCTAAAAATATCGTTTTTAAACCGATTTCTACCGATATTTAGGGCTACATCCAATTAAGTGTATGCGAAATTGATATTTGTTTCCCCAAACCAACACAATTCATGAGATAAATGGGTACGGCAAACTAAAGGATAGTGACAGGTATGGGTGTTGCTGATGAGCTAGAAGCTTGCACAACTGAACAATGTAAAGCTTCTGTCAATTAAAGTAATTAGCATTTCTCCTGGCATTATTATTGTTTGGCCATAAATAGATATTATTTATAAGACTTTCATTAAATTAAAGCAGAAGAATGAAACGTGATTTTAGAGCTTCTTGATAAATATCTTAGCCTTTTCTCTACCACAAAGTGACACTACGTATAACGGCTTTAGACTACAGCCCTACAAAAGAAATTATAAATTTAAAAAAACAAAATCGATGATCTTTAATTAAAATTAACTGAAATTCCAGAGTGAAATTGTTTAAAAATTTTGAAAAGTAAATTGTGTGTGAAACGTTTTTGCGTATTTTCAATCTCTCGATTAGTGCCGTCTCTAAAGTTTCCTTAAAGTTGCGGGGCGAGACATCATCTCCTCTCAGTATTCTGACTTCTTAGGAAAATGTTAGTTTCAAGAGAAGCACGCGAAGATTGGGCTTGAAGTCAATTTGTACTGCCAACATGTCCTCATAATGTAAAGGCTGCATACCTTTTAGTTATCATCCCAATGTGAGGGCTGAGCTTAAAGGAAAACTGGCAAAATATTAGCATAGACCTTTCCTTCTCATATTTTCGTCAAATTAAAAACAGAATTGCATGCTTGAACTTTTAGCGGAAACAGCATCTTGACGATGGGCATTGCAAAAAATGGATATATTAGGCTTTATAAACCTTTTTATGGACTTGTTTGGGTAGAAACTCCTAGGCCTTTATACCTTAGAACGATGATTGGGTAGGTATACATTTCGTAAAATTAAATTGGTAATTCGAATTATTACCAATAGAGAACGTACATAGCTTACACACGGCTGATGCAAAAACTCTAACAACCAATACCGATAAAAAATGGATAACTGAATGCTTACCACAGCATAGATCATCAATACGAAACCAAGGTTAAACGTGAAATATCCAATGCTGATAGCGATAATCACATAAAGTTCCAAGTGATCGTAGACATGAATGTTAAGTCTTTTGGTCAAATTCTCGATCAAGGCAACTCCGCCATGCCAAATACAGATAATTGTCAGGAAAAATAGACTGGAAATTACGTACTTATCCTAAAAATTAAAGCATGGACATGCTATTTAAACATTGTTACGTGAACTCTAAAGGAGCATTCTGCAGCGGCCACTTAAAGCCTGTCTGTGGATGTTCGCTTAGGTCTACACTTTTTAAATCTCAACTATGTGAACAACTAAGCAAGTGCAATACAAGAGCCTTGATGAATTTGCTAGACATAAAAATCAGCATCATTTCTGAACTATTTGCTTGCGGAGGTGGACAATGCTGGTTATGTTGGCAAGACTGAGTCAATTCTCAGGATCGCGATGACTACGAAATAACAGGAAGAAGGTGGTAAGACAGGATCCCTGCGGACGAAGACAACCGTCATGCCATTAGGGACCTGCTCAACCAGCCTATTACTAAACCATAAGGTGAGAATCACAGTTTCAGTAACTTTAGTGATGTGCAGTCTCTTCTGATGTGAGTAGACTTCATCGTCTCTTTTGTTACTCTGCTCTAGTCGCAAAGGGCTACGGTCTTACCAACTGATTTAATCAACGTAAAGTAAAAGAACCTTAGTGTGAAGCATTTGTTACTTTTGGGCTTTTTAAAGGCCTTTTAGCTGCTTGGAGGCTATTAATAACCACAAAGTTTAAAGCAATTAGTTTTAATAAAACAATTTGCATGTTTTCTTATATCCTGAACAAAAATTTAAGAAAAAACCATTCCTGGCAATTAAGACAGTCGTTCTGCTCTGATTTGATGTGACAAAATCAAATCAGAGTAATGAGTAACCGCAAATACCTTAGCTTACACGTATTATAAGGAACAGCCAATTTGTAGAATGCGCACAAAACTGTGCCCTTAGGAACCAGCCTTTTGCAAAAATATTACCTGGCTGCAGGAATTAAGGCTACACCCCTGGGTTTGCATGAATGCTCCAGATTTGTAGAGTTGGTCCATAAAATTAGAGAGCTTTATTTAAACAAATGTATGGCAATGAATATTCACTCTCTAATTCAACAACCACTTGGGTCCTAAATACAAAAATGGTCATTTCGCCTAAAGTTTCTTTCCCTTTTCTCTTTCGTCCATCTTAAACAACCAAATAGTTCTTTAAAAAAATCCCAACTTACAAGGTAGGTCAGGTAAGAAATCTTTGGTAAGCATTGATTTACCACAAATTTAAAAGCCACCAATGTTAAAACAAGTGTAAAGGCAAGCTGAAGACGGCTTTGAGGCTGCGATTTGTCCACGGAAAATGTTACCAATGAAAGTGAGCAAATAAGAAACTTGAAAAAAAAACAGAATGATTGTAAGTAGATGTTTGAAATTAAGTATACTCCAAATGCTTCTTAAGTGTAACAAAAGTTTGGCCGCTGGAAGAGGCTAAGACTATTAAATTTAAAATTACAGAAGCAACTTATTTGACGAAGGTCATCTTAAGATACGTTATCCATTTTATGTATTAGTGAGTTTTTAAGAGCAGCTTGTCGTGGAATTGCAAACTAATAATCAGTTGTCTCACACAGAAAGTGGGATAATTAAACTTCCCTTAGTATCGACTTCAACTTATATGGGCGGTTTAGGGTTGGTTTCAATGAATAGACTTGAAACACATACGGGCCATCGCAAAGGGTGTCTATAGACAACTTTCGCAATAGCCTGATAGACTTATTCCGTGGAACGGAGAAACGTACTGTGACAAGAAAGATATTCCATATAAAGTAGGCCGGCCGCCGAGCAGCGCGACACTTAACAGAGAGCGTTGGGTGGGCGGATGCGTGCTCTTCGTACTCATTTGCCAGCTCATGCTGTTCTGTCTCGATGTGCTTATACAAGTACCACTCCTGTTCATCTAGAAAAACAACGAAAAAAATCACAAAAAAACTCACATTTTGATTAAGGATGAAAAAACTTTTTTAATCAACAAAAATTAAGCAGCGTAAAGTTAATGTAGAAAGCCGCCCAAGGGCGTGGTAAAATTAAAAACAGCAAAAAGACGCTTATTCAAGTGGGCTGGCAGCGCTGATTTTGCCTTCATTTTAACATTGGTGGTCTTAGGAAATCTGTGATTCGCATTTGTACAGATACATTTGAAATCAATGACATTTTCTGTTTTTTATTTTGAAAATCATTGCCCATATGGACTTCACGGATAGAATCCAAAAAAAATATTTTACTGTCTGAAGTAAAATTCTGAAACAAGTGCTGACTCAACCCGAGGCATTAAAAACCAAATAACGAAATCAAACACTAACACAATGTAACATTTATCGGAACAATTTCAACTTTGTAACTTCTAAACATAAATTTAGCTAACTTTACAGCTTTTAGAATAAGAACATTTTTTTCTGAAATCCTCGTGGCCGTTTATGCCTTGAGAGTATTGTTTAACTCAAAACGCAAAAAGAGATACAAGTGAGGGAGCATGGAAAATTAGAAGGCTCTGAATGTTGTTATTACTGTCTCCCATTTGAATGTTTTACCAGAAAGATGAACTGCATATTTTAAATGATGTCGTGTATTAAACTTTTGGCGATACCATTTGTTACAACTTTATGATATTTTGCACTGTGACGGAGATTTAATGCAGGTTAATTTAAGGCCATTCCCCATTAAATTTAAAGCGTTTAAATTGAACAAGAATATGCGTTTTGAATAAAAAGATGCTTACGGAATGTTTGGCTTAAGTGGAATCGTAAAATGGATAATTTTGGCTATTGTTAATGTAAAAATACTTTGCCCTAATCATGAACTATCGGCCTAAAATTTGATCTATTGCCATGGCAAAAGTGACATCATGCAGTTTTAAGCAAAGCCTTTTCTCACAAATGGATTACTGTGGTATTTTCCCATTTTATCGTTTTGTTCTTTAAATAGTTAATTTAACCAAAATGGATAAGTAAAGTCGCATACCAACAAACGATTGCTTATTGATTCGGTGCGGTTCATCGGGATCATTTACGAGCCGAATTTCAGAAGATGGCAGATTTGAAGCAATTGTGATTGTCAAGTCCTAAATGAATTATTAAAGTTGCTATGCACACCAAATGAAAGGAGAGGCACAAATGGGGATAATAAAAATAACAAATGTATGTTCCCATAGAAAAAAGATTAGAATAGTTAAATCTAAATCAAAATTATTGGGATTCAACGAAAAACAGGGACATCGAGCTTGATGACAATATCCAATTATTTTTGACAACACAAACAAATCCTCGAACTGGTCAGGCTGAATATCACCAAAGCGTAGTGGCTTACCTCACTCTTACCATCATGATAAAATAGGAATGAATTTAACAAGACAGTGTAGTATTATTCATATTTAAGAATTTCTAACAATAAATTTCTTTTAGTTTGTAAAAGTAAATTACCTCTAATGTTCTCAACCTTAAGTGTTCCTACAATCATCATTCAAAATGAAAATAAACTTAACTCCCTTAATATCTTGCACGCATGTTTTACGTGCATTGCTACAAACTGTCAAAAATCAATTACCTTTTTTGCTTCGAAGAAAGCCAAGACACAGAAATATCTAGGCAACTGCAAAATCGCCTTAAATAATACCAGAATGAGATAATTTATGAAAGGAGTACCCAAAACTTTGCATGCATTGATCGAATGCCAAATATGGTGACAGTTCAAAAGAGTTATAAATTATGAACAGTATCCATTTTTTCAGGTTGGCATGTTGTTTTTCAACGTAGGCCAACTAATTTTTGCCCATGGCAAAAACCACATTTAACAATTGAAGAAAATTTCAGAAAATAAAGTTCAGTTTGAGTGGAAAAATGCTCTGATCAGAACCCTATGTTCCTATAAGTTTTGCTGTGACATAGATAATATATTGATTTAAAAATTGTGCAATTGTACAAAAAATAAGAAAGCGGCGAATTTGAAATGGTGACTAAACCAACTGAAAATGGTAAATAATAGGAGGGGTCTAAATCAAGTCTTATGACAAAACCATTTGCCTCTGATTACCTGAACATCAAATGGAAAGTGATTCAACTCCAGGTTCTCCAAAAAGACTCCAGAAACTCGACGCTTCTCAACGAGGAATGCGTGTCCGAATTCGTTGAAAGTAATTATTCGATGCAACTGTTCCCTGGTCTCCCCTATTGTATTTTCAATATATAACTTTGGTGACCAGCTCTTCATCCAGTCGTATTCCTGCAGAACAAACATTGTTCGCATATAGCATTTACATCATAGGCATCTCTAAATTTTACGCAACAATTGTGAAAACTCAAACTAGTGATTCCATTATATGTCGGGTGTTTTAATAACGTAAGCATCATTTAGGTACAGTATTTAGTCAAGTTTGGTCTCAAGAAGATGCTTCCTTTAACTGATCCATTGGTACCGTTATAAATTACTTGGACTTTGAACATTACCAGAATTGAATTTTTTTCTCATGGCTGTCGATTTGCCCATTGTTAGTTACTCATGAGCTACATTTACCGTGATGGAGACGGCAAGTGTTCACAGACGAAATAAGTGGCTGAACGTGTGAAAGGGTGTGAGTGTCACTGCTAAATGAATCGGGCTAGTTTTGAGTGGCAAAATGCTTTTCGTGTTTCCAACAGCATAGACAGGGAGGTATGCATCAAGTGCTCGCCCCGTGGATAAATTCGAAACATCTGGAGAACCATAACCCATGTTATTCGAGTGGGTACAGTGAACCTGAAGTTTAACTGCTGCATTGCAAATTCAACTAAATCACACTTCAGTTCCAGGACCTGAGCCCAGACACTTGTTGGCTACGCAAACTGTCGAGTCCAGCCAACAAAGGCAAAAAATACCCTCCGCGCGATCGATTTGTTCACCGCAGAGTCACTAACTCTGGTACAGCAGAAATTGGCTGCAAATATTTGTCCACATGCCCTGCAATGTGGCCAGCTCGTACTGAATTCTGTTAAAGTTGCAACAGCGATAGAATTTGAACGTCAAAGGTGCTACATTAGTGCTCTTATGAGAAATATCTGTTGAGAATCATCATTTCATCAGTTTGGAGTCACATAATTATTGCATACTGCAACAGGAAAGTAACAAGTTGTTTCCAGAAAGGTTCCTTGTATGCCTTCACCTTCTAGTGATGCTCAATCGTCAACTATAGTCCTGACCGTTGCAGGCCATAATATCTCTTCTATTTACAGCCTAGATGCGGTATTTGCTCTTCTTAATAAGGAAGAGGCAATGCTACCTAATTGTTATTAAAATATGGAATAGTTATGTCACGCGTTTTCCAGAAGCAGTATTTAATAATAATAATAATAATCAGGTACAGCAGTGGCTATAAATCGTAAGCAGCTTCATGGTGCAAGCCTATGGTGCAAAACTGCATTAAATTGCAGTTTAGAGGAATTTTGAAATAAAATGCGTAAAATTAGGCCCAAAAAATCACACCAGCAGGCCTAGATGCCAAAGAAAGCAGCCACATTAGCGCAAATAGGTATACAGAGCACGTACAAAATTCATAATGACAATTCCAAAAGTGTCATTTTGTTGCATTTTTCAAAAAAAAGCACTTGCAAGCCTGTTTAACTGATAGATTGACATTCTTTACAAATTAACTATACCTGACCACTAACATTTGACGCGTCAGAAACGTTGACCTCGTAAATTGTTCAGTTTTAAATTTCAAAAGCACGCATATACAATAATGGAACGATAATTTCGTGGCGACTATTCCTGTGTGGCATGCCTGCATTTTCCACAACCGTAATGCTATTTCTGTGCATTAAAGTTGGTTAATAAAAATAATTGAGCAACTCTTTGGTAAAAGTTGCTCATTTTCGCAGTGTTTGGGTCTGATGTAATTAAATGAGAATGACAATAAAGGCATTTAACACAGATATGCAGTTGCAACAGTCTTAGTGCGGTTTCGGCAGTCACACCAAGGCCGACGATCTGTGTCGACTTGGTCCGTCTGGAGAAAGAGAAGGAATCAGATGGTGCGTGGCATTCAGGTAAATCGATCGAATTATAATCGTTCAAGCTCGCTAACTGTGCTCGCTTGCTGCACGCTACACAGTACACTTGAAAACCTACTTCTAGACATAACGGTTTTGTTCCAGAGAACATTTTTTCAATGTATTCATGTCAATGAGGTGAGAACATCACCAAGGGCACAGAAAATATACACGTACATATATATCTAAAAGAAATTAGGCAGGATAGTTGCTTCAAAGCATTGCATCAAATCTGATTATTTACCCTAGGTTGTAAACTGATAACCTGAGTTTGAGTGTACTCGGTGCAATTATTGCCCTGTTTCCTGAGCAGTAAAACCTGCCAAACATCTGTTTTTACTGTCAAAACTCTATAGTAAACAACAGCCGTGCCGCTATGATCAAGTTCATGAATGTAAATAGCAAATGCCCACTTTTCACAAATTACAAGATAAGAGACAAGCAACATAATCGAGTTGATTGAATATAAAAACGTAGCAAGTGTTTGACGTGAAGTCAGGATGACCAAGTGAGTTTGAAAATCGCATTGCCAGTTTTATTTTAAAAAATGCGTGATCAATCGATAGTACGAACCTTAATTTTTCCAAAAACACTTTTAGGTTATAAGTCCTTGTGAGCAAATATTGTAAGTCGTTAAAACGTAAATATTTAAGGTGTAAGATTCGATTCAAGTAGTTTAAATAACATACTAATTCGTTAGGGGTGTCCTGTTAATTGGACTAGCTTTGAATTGCGCTTGGCTTCACCTCGCTAATTCGAAAAAATTAATTCTACACATTTTCACAAATAGGCAATTTTCATCAATTAGTTCTTTGAACTAGCAGTTTCGAAGCCTCCTTTTAATATAGTCAAGTCTTCAGTTAACTATTAAGCGTACTATGTGATCACTCATTTTACGATCCTGGTGTGGATACAATTCGTGGGGGATTGTCATTCACCCTGCTCCTTTTGGATAATTAAATGGTGTCTAGGCTCATTTACGGCCCAATTTTCTCTTCAATCAAATCCCAATTTTGATTAGACATTAATACTTTAATATATCTAGGTTTTATAAATGGACTACTTCGTCCTTCTCTAGATTGCACTTTGTGCAAATTTAAAAAAATCACAATCGGATTTTTATAAATGCTAGTTAAACTGACAAGTATTTGTTTCTAATTCAGCACAGGTCCTGGTAATTTCTTTTCAGCGTGTTTCACCATAGGTATTTGAGTACGTAGATAATAATGTTTATTCTAAATACAACGTTAGTCACTATTAGTCTTAACCATCTATTTTCAAAGAAACTTCGTGAATTTTTCAAATGCCTTCCGCGTACCGAAACCCTGTGTGGTCTAGAGAGCTTGGATGCATTGGTTAATAAAACAATCCTCTCCCCAAAATCAAAACAGGATTGTGTAACGACGCATGCAGTTACACTGAATGATTGACAGCTGTCAATGCATTCGCACATTTAGTACGCAGACAAAGGGCGTTGCACCTAATTTCTGTCAAAGACCAAAAAGGACCACGAGACCTCTCGCAGTCAGAAGAACACTCAAATATATTTCAATTAATGCATTAATTAAACTGGGAAGCCTGGTCAGAACATGACTCCAAATAGATGCAACGCAGAACCACAAACACCCCAGTTTCCGTACTGATAATTTTTCCTCTGCAGTTGTGGCTCCCATTAAAATTTGCTGACAAAAACATCTTAGTTTCCTTGTACACTTAAAACGCACGACCATTAATGTCCGAGTAAGGTTTGCTGGCCCGCGTGGCTTGAAAATATGAGGATGATCACTTGTTTGTCTTTCACTTTTACCAGAGAGGTAAATGAATCAGTAAGAACGCAATCAAATGTATGAATCTTGATAGTACAAAGAAATCGGTTTGAAGGAACAGTGAGTGCCCCAAATAGAAATCTGAACACAACTCCATATCAGATCCTTTAACACAAATAGCACTAAGAACTAAAATACCGAAATTTATTGGTAATTTACCAAAAGTAACTTCAAACCAAGGGTGCCAAATAAAATCTGCGAATGTTTGTAAACAAAATGTAACAGAAAAAACAAACTACTGGAACAATTTTTAATAAACCACTCACTACAGTTTCAGCGGCGTCCATTTCAGTTTCTCGCCATTTGGCCTTTATGAGAACATCTGCAGCGTATTGCTCCTTGATAGTGTCGATCTCGCCAATTTTCAGGAATATTACGCAAAGGTAGACCTGTCTCTACAAAATTTAAAAGTAGAACACAGTTTTTCTGATTTTGCTTTTCAAGTTTTGTCCCACAAAATTAAAAGTACATCATATACCTTTAGCGGTGTACTCTCTTCGACTTGGACAGCTGTCTGTCTTCTGCGTGATTCATTTTTGCAAACTAACGGTTTTGCAACTTCTGGTCATTTTTATCAATTGAAGTAAAATTTCTTTCTTGGAATCGAAATTACTTATGATTTTAAATTCTACCTTTGTGTTTTTGTTACGTTGTGTAACATACTCTGAGCACCGATGCTTTTAATGAGTACAGAAAATTCAGTCAACTTGACCAGAATGCATTGTGTAATATTATTACCTAAATCCGAAGCTAAGTCCTGTGTTTTCCATTTGTGCTAACAACTATAGCCCTTGGTAGAACCTTGTGACAAGTTGTGTGCTCAAGCATTTTTGAATGAATCTTGCCTCTAATTATCTTAATGCAAGACATGCGACAAACAATTACAGGAAAACTTAACTAATTCAAACAATGAGGTCAGCGATTCCACTATCGGGAATGGACACAAGCTAGAAATACAAATTGGCTGCTACAAAGAAGGGAATTTTAAAAATTAATAGAAAAATCTAGTTAATTCTGTTACGGCAGTTCATGTTCGTTGTTTTGCAAATTATTTTGCCCTACTCTTTTCAAGCTTTTGAAAGCCTACCCTTTTCTCACCATCTGGTTGCGAACTACTAACAGATATTCCATGGATTTCTTCCAAATCGGCATCCACACAACTTGAAGGGCCCTTTTGTGAAACACAAACGAAGGGTTCAAGTGTGGCCGAATTTAAGCCATCGCAACCGTTCAGCATCATCTGGCTAGAGGCCAGTGGCATTGGTTCAATATTAATCATCCGTGGTTTAATGGTCACAGACTGTGATCGTAAAACAACGGGTCGGGACAATAATGAGAGAGCAGTTGAACTCTTGCGTCGATACTTCCGAGATGGCAATCTATTACGACCACATTGGGACATCACATCACTATCACTATCAGACGCTTGCACTGGAATTTCATGCCTTGGTTTCTCTGAAAGGGGAATCTGAGAGGCAAGACAAGACGTTCTGATTCTGGAGGGAAATTCACTCTCAGTGGCTCCTGAATAGACCGACGGTGCGTCAAATGCACTGGTTGGCGAACAAGACTCATCTTCCGACGAGGTGGGAGGCTCTATCTTCACTGACATTGCTGCCGGCATTGCGTGACTGCAGTTGGCCATGACCGCGTTTTGCAAGTCGGATGACTTTCTCTTGTTAAACATTTCGTTTTTACGATCGGGTAGAAGACTCTCTGTAAGAAATGCTTCATTTTTTGAGCCATCTATGTCACTGTCTGTCCATCCAGAGACAACCATTTGTAACGGAGGTCCCGTCGAGTTCGCAAAGGCAAGAGACCCCAACGAAGCGGACTGGGTGATGCACCGAGTGATTCCAGTGCTGCCCATCGAGTCGCCAATTTTCGCATCGCGGTTTAATTGAAAGCCCAGCATCCGAGAAGGTATCATGGTGTTCAAAACAACGCTTTTGTCATCTGTTGCTAGCGCGCTTGGCATAAATACGCCACAAGTTTACCTCGGATTTAAAAGATATTGGCTCTCTATTTGTCCAATTGAAATCCGCCTTGGTAAAGCAATTAAATCTTGCTTTATGTGAATTGAATATGCGTTGTCTAAGTGTATACATGAGTTTGAGAAAAAAAGTGCTTTTCAAAGATTACAAAACACTGGTTGAAAATATATCCTGTAGCTCACACCATATTGTACTAATGTCTAAAAACCACGCCTGAAACAATTTGCAAAGGTAAATACAACTTTCGGGTCAGTTTATTGGTTTTAAATCCAGGGTGAGATCGTGATTAATTGGACGCACAAAACTGAAAGCTTTGAAGACCAAGGATTACGTAGGTGATGTGGGTGCATTTATGCATAAAACAATAATCTGAATAGGAACGTCTTTTTCCTTCCAGGTCACAATCAATTTGTCTACAGTTTGGTTGGATGAAGCGCTTTCAGGATAAATGGAATTAGTTTAATGTCCGATAAAATTGCCGTTACCTAGATGGAGGTATACAATGCGAATACCTGCCATAGTGTCTATCATGCAACATATAAATTGTCCATAACAAAAGTACAAATTGCCAATCATAATGACGCACTTTGTTTATTTTGTCAGTTAAAAATCGGTCAGTGTTATTGTTGCGAAAAACGATCCTCCCAGCATATCTCGAATGCCAAGAAAGACCTAGAACTAAATGTCGGGTAAACAGCGCTTGAAGGCCGATACAAATGACTCTTAATGTCATAATTTGCTTTCCAAATCCCAAATAGAATTTGTGATTTAATTTCAACATAAATAAGAATTTCACGATTAATCTTTTCCAAAAAATGTAAGTCACACACATTTAATAAAAGTCCTTATTTACTTTTCTTTGCATGTTTGCAAGTACCGTGGGATTCAAATTTCAGCACCTAAACCAAATTTTGAGCTCTAGCAATTTAACCAGGCCTTCACGTAATTCTGCAGTGAAAATTGGCTTAGATAGGGAGCCTGAGTAAGCTTGTAAATAGTATTCCTTCGTGAATAATAAAGCTGACGTTTATTTGTGCAAACAATAGACATAAGTGCTAATACCTGTTCTCCGTCATTTACCTTATCAAAACCCCTTTTATTGGTTTTTTACTATCTTGACAAAATCATAAGTCAACAGTGGTCTAAGCGCACGAGTATTCGTGTTTTTGAAAGCCTTTGAAGTCATGCATATCCCGGTAATTGATCAGTAATTATCTCAACTTCAGTGTGCTAAAACAGCGCGAGCTTTTCTTACATTGATTAAACGTAACCGCAGTCTGCTTAAGCATAAACAGCATGTATCATCAAATATTGGTTGCTACCTTTAGGGCTTTTGATGTTAACCCAGTCGGTAGTGGCATGAACTGAATTTTCAGTTTAACTTTTCATCGTTGCAAACCGTATTCTAGTCCAATTTTGTCTTATTGAATCATTGATGCAAACCAAAATAGCTGGCTAGCAACGCCCAAAAATCTACGATAGTACAATTTAAGTTCCCCCGATTAGTGGATAGATGAATGGTTATAAAAAGGTAGATGGCACTATTTATGAAATTACTTGGTCATGTAAATTCAAACAAATCAGACTGTGGGTTCTACGTAAGATTAAAAATCAGCTTAAAATGGATTCTCAGTGACGTAATATATGCCAAAATCAGAATGATTCCTGGAATTTTTGACGGAATATTTATATGCACCGATGGAAGCAAGAGTTTTAAAGAGAACACATTTAAGTTAAAGTAATCTGATTCAATTTTATTTTTTTTTTAAAATTGTATGTGAATGATATGGTATCATAACGCATTGAATAGATTATTTTATACTTATCAACTAAAAGGATTAATAACATTGCTCAATAAATATGAAACAATGCAACAATTTGTGAAATCCCACCTTGATGAAAAGAGGGCGCAAAGCAACACCTATCGAATAAATCCCTCACTGAAATAATATTGTGTATTTTAATGCTCATCATATTCAATTTCATGTCACAAGGTTAATCAATTCATATTCTACAAGAAAGTTGCAATGCCAAGTAATTAAATGAATTGTTTAAGTCACATGTGCTCTAGACTTGGTTTCTGGATTGTTGTCTTAATAAAGTTTGATTAAAGAACTGAGTAACCTCAGTAGCATCGAGCTGCAGCAGCAAACAAAGATGATCCGTTTTACTCATTAACGGCCTGTGCGTTCTAAATATTTAGAAAATGTGCATATCAGTTTCCATTTTTTTTTACTATCATGACTTAGTGAAGCCTTTATTCATTTTCATGTATTTAGATCAACCTGAGTGAAAATTTTAGCATTTTGCTATTTTTAAAGTAAGCATACAATTTTCTTGTTAGTTTTAGATTACATAATATTGATTAAATTTTTAATTTTTGTTCACGCAAGCATTTATGTGAATGCTTCCATTTTAAACGCTCTTTCAAAACACGTTGTATCATTTAATTAAATGCAATAAGTTTTGTACCTATGCTTTTAATTGGACACTGTTTTCAATATTTAAAGAAAAAGTGATATACAACTGGCTACACAACTTATGCCCTTATTATTGCTTGATTAACAAAATTTAATGAACAGATTGAATCTTGTCGATGAGTAATCATTTAAGTAGGAACTAACCTGAGTTTATTTTGCTTTGGCGCAAATGTAAAAGGTTTTCAAATAATTAATGCTTCTAAAAATTCGAAAACTTTTCACAGGTTTAATTTTGAGTGGTTTAAGTAGGACAAACAAAACTGCTTAACTTGTTTTCGTGCTTTGCTGCTGCTGAATAAAAGGTTTCTGTTCATTTCTCTTTAATAGACCAGTGCAGGTTATAAGGTTTTTTTAAGATTTATATCCCTATCCCCGTAAATATAACTATAAAGTGTGTTTCAAGCACAAACTTTTACGGTTGACATAAGATCCTGTGAAAATAAGAGCCACTAAAATCGAGGACTACAACTAGTTCCACCCATTTCATCAATCAGCAAGTCATTCACACAAGATTGTTCCCCACATTTAGGAAGAAGTATTTAATAAAATTGCAAAAATCAGCCTAAAAACGAGTTTGATTCTTAAAATAAATATCATTTCGGCATCCTTCAAAAGGACAAATTTAGGTCAACAGCAAAATTTACAGTGACTATATGTTTTCATCTTTAAGACGTGTGTATTACGGTGTATTTTAGCAGCAACGTTTACTCAAAATATTTATGAAAAAGGCATTAACTTGTAATAATAGAACAGATGTCTTACCCGGGGTTGATCATTGCTTCCTTTATTTAGTGCACAGGTTTTCTCTTCTCTAGAAGCAGATTTGGTCTTGAAGAATATTTTTTCAGAAAACACCGAAGGCTGTACTTTTAGTATTTGTTGAAAATGGTCGATGTCTTATTCATTATTTACCTCAGATTTTTCAGGTATTTCTATCTTTGTGTCTACCGCGTTTGTCACTGAGGTAGCTAAAACCTTGTTTACATCCACCATACCAAATGAAGGCCCATAAGCGCTGTTACTACTGAAGTTGTTTGGGCCTAAAAAGCGAAATTGCGGTGAATTTAGCATGCCGCTTATCACAATATCCTTCTAATACAAAGTTTTTTTTAAACATTTGCCAGTGCCCACTTCCTGAATCGCAACCTCGCCAATCAAAAAAGCCAGACCAGCGGCATTCACGTGATTGGCGGACGTAGGATGATTGGGGTAGTCGATCAATCATGACTTCTGTTCGGAATCCTTGGCTCACATAAAGGATTTCTTAGTTAATTCATTTTTGAACTACATTAGGCAAAACTAGTGGTGGTGTACAAAAATTGCATCTTAAGGCTGAGAAAATTGATATATATATATAATTAATTTTAAGCGAAAAAACACTTTAACCTATATTAAATTCAAAGACTGTTGAAAGCAGTCTTGAATTGTATTTAGTGATCAAAATACTTGGAAACTTTGGGTCCAATTATAGGAACGCAACCTATTTGCAGGTTTGCTTAATCGTGGTGATTGATATCATTTAACTCATGGTCACAGACGCCTTTCTCACCCATGTATACGTAAAACAGTTGGCACTTAAAATGGTAAGCGAAACGTTTTGGAAATATATAACCTCATTATCATAGATGAAAATATAACCAAAAAATATGTGGAACCTTGAATGCACACCATGAGACAGACACAACAATGTCCAGGCACCTTGAACGCGGTTGTGTATCAGTAAGCTCCGGTGTCATTTATCTCCCCAGAAATCTCCATAGTTGAACAAACCCATTATTGTGGTCTCTGAGGTGTTAGAGGTTTGAAAACGAACCTTTACAGCATCTCTGCTCGAATATTTCCAGCTTATTTATTCAAAATACCAACAAATTAAAGTTTTATTGGGTAGTATAGTTTCATTATAAACAAGCTTTGATATGAGCTCTCCTGGTCTTCACATGGAATGAAGGTGATTTCAAATTTTGGAATATGCACAGTCTATATACATGTCAGAAACCCTTAAGTATCGTGTACGTTTGAAGTTTACCTGAAGCATATTTTCTATTCCATTGGTACCCTAAATCAAAACGTTTATGGTAAGAAAATAAATAAAATTTACGCAAAAACATCTTTGAAAAATTTTAAGTATAGGTTAAACCACTAGCAACGTTAACTGCCGTTCACTTGTTTATTCGCACCGCGATGCTAAAATTCATAGCGCTGAAGTATATCATGAAGCAGCATTTCTCAAAATTCTTGATACATATTTTTGCAAAAATTTTTTAACACTGCTGTAAAGCTTAAAATATTTGAAACTGAAGCGTGGTTTTAAATCGATGTAAAAATTGCTACCGTCAAAGTAGGCGAATAACAGGTAACTCATTAAACTTAAATTTACGTAATATGCTCCTAAAACCAATTCCTAGCAAATAGGATTATGATGTATACAATTATTGGGGATTTTCGGACATAAACCA